AAGTTGAAAGCGCCCCCCCCCCCCCAAGTTGGGCCACTCCATAATTGTACCGATTTAGTTTGGCCCAATGTAGGAGACTATAACAATCAGTCAGATAAAAAACACAAAGTTAACATTTTAAAAGGATACCCAATCCGGGTTTGATGCAGTTAACTGATGGGATCGCGTTACCGGTGGACAGGATATTATTGATTTTAATTCCACCGATACTTCAATGTAGACTATGAAGGGTATTGGTACAAAGCCAGGCCTAGATCCATCAATTCACAATGAACCTATAGCGTTGACAAACTAAGCCCTTTGGTATTTATATAGCTAATAAAAGGAAAAAAAATGAAATGGCCCCCGAACCCAGAATAATTGATATTATGTGTTCTTTACTCATCGGTTTTTGAATATGGATAATAAAGTGTATGTATAGTAAGTTTCCTCAAGTTCCATCTATTCATGTAGGAGTCTGCAACAAACGTTCGGTCTCACTGATACCGTCCTGTGTTGGTTCCGATCGTATCTGACTAATCGGGTCCAGTCGGTTATTTCAAACGGCTTGACCTCGAAGAAATCTAATCTCGAATTCGGAGTACCCCAGGGCTCGGTCCTAGGCCCGATGCTTTTCACGATGTACATTCAGCCCCTGGGTGCAGAGATCAGGCAGTTTGACATGTTGTATCACATGTTCGCGGACGATACACAACTTCATCAATCCGTGATCACTTCTCAGTTCCCTCAGCTGCTCAGTATTACACAGAAGACAATGGAGTCGGTAAAGCACTGGATGACCATTAACAAGCTCAAATTAAATGATGATAAGACTGAGCTGCTCCCCATTGCGACCGCTCAGAAGCAGAAATCTGCACATAACACGACATCCATTACTCTCTCAGGTGTGCGTATTGAGTTAGCTCAAACAGTGCGGTACCTGGGTGTCTACCTAGATAGAAGACTAACTTTTGAAAGTCATATTAACATGCTATGCAGGGCGATTTTTCTGGAGCTGCGCAGGATTAGTCAAATCAGGCCCTTCCTAACAATTGATACAACAAAGAGGCTGATGTCTGCATTTGTGCTATCACGCATGGACTATTGCAATGCTCTCATGGTGGGTCTTCCAGCTACGCTCCTGGATAAAATTCAAATAGCACAGAATAATGCGGCTCGCATAGTTCTCCGCAAACGCAAATTCGACCATGCAAAAACACTTCTGAGAGAGTTGCATTGGCTGCCGGTGCGTGCTCGCATAGAGTACAAAATCGCAACTTTGTGCTACCGCTGCTTACATGACCTGGCGCCGTCCTATCTGAAAGAGCTGCTGACGCCTTATGTACCCAGTAGAGAGCTCCGCTCATCCGATAGTGGCAAACTCTCGACACCACGTGTTTGCCTTGAGACTTACGGAAAGCGCACTTTCGCATTTGCTGGTCCAACAATTTGGAACGCCCTTCCTGTCGATCTTAGAAACAACCAGACACTGGAGTCCTTTAAAACAGATCTAAAGACACATCTATTTCGCAAATACCTTCTGGGATGATTGTCTACCTTATTTTCCATGTGTTGCTGTGTTGCTCCGGGTTGAAATGGCTAGAAAGACTTTGATATTGTATGCTTGTAATTAGTTTTTGTAGTGTTGTGTTTGTTTTAAATGTAGTGAATTATAGATATGTTTTTTGTTGACTTTGTACCGCGCTTCGAGCCTTTGGGGATGAAGCGTGTTTTTTAAATGAACTTTATTATTATTCGGTTGTCGTTTATTTATATAGCTCATATAAGAGAAAAAATGAACATGGGATGAAAATGTGATAGCTATGTTGCCATTGGCAACGAGTCTATATAATACCAAGTTTCATCTCGATAGGACAATGGGAAGTGGGTCAATTAGCCCTCTGAAGATTTAGCAGCAAAAAAATTAAAATTAAATATAAATGATTTTAAAATAAAGTATAAATTTCCCAATATTCAGTTGATTGAAATGTTTCGTGGGAATATCAAACGTCTATAACATTCTTCAGGTAAATTACAAATTGCCTCTTGGATATACTTTAACACATATTTTTACCAAAAACAAAGAATTTATTCTTAATTTGACGTTTTAGGAAGATTTTTTCCCCAAATTATAGGACAAACTAATTAAAAAGGGTTGGGGGGGGGGGGTTTGGGGGGGGGTTAGGCTAGTTAATGGAAAAGCTGGTTCACAAAAAGGGGATTTCTATTAATGAAAAAAAAATAATTTAAAAATTAAAATTTTTTTAAAA